GGCGCCTCCTTCATGTCAGCATCGGTTTGGACAAGAGATTTTTTAATATTATTCCAATGTTGGCCTCTGATCCAATTCTGATTGGAGTAATTGTTTGATATTGTGATTTTTGTGTGATTATACGTTTTTTACTTCTCCATTCAGACAACTTCTACAGTATATTCTTCTTGTCCAACAATTATTATTTTTTTGTTAACTTCTCCTGGACAACAGGACAAGCGTTAATGTCAAGCCCTGATGTTTAGCTGGCACTCTGTGTTGTCGCTCATAATTGTTTGTCAGCACAAACATCACTGTAGGTCCTGACTTCCTGCTCCCTTGGTCAAATGTCACTGTAGGTCCTGACCACAGGAGGCTGCTGAGGGGAGAACAGCTCATAATAATGGCCGGAACGGAGCAAATGGAATGGCATCAAACACCTGGAAACCATGTGTTTGATGTATTTGATACCATTCCACTGATTCTGCTCCAGTCATTAACACAAGCCCGTTCTTCCCAATTAAGGTGCTACCAACCTCCTGTGGTCCTGACTCCCTGCTGAGCCAAACGTCACTGTAGGTCCTGACTCCCTGCTGAGCCAAACGTCACTGTAGGTCCTGACTCCCTGGGCCAAACGTCACTATAGGTCCTGACTTCCTGCTTCCTGGGCCAAACATCACTATAGGTCCTGACTCCCTATTTCCTGGGCCAAACGTCACTATAGGTCCTGACTTCCTGCTTCCTGGGCCAAACATCACTATAGGTCCTGACTCCCTGCTTCCTGGGCCAAACGTCACTATAGGTCCTGACTTCCTGCTTCCTGGGCCAAACGTCACTATAGGTCCTGACTTCCTGCTTCCTGGGCCAAACATCACTGTAGGTCCTGACTCCCTGGGCCAAATATCACTGTAGGTCCTGACTCCCTGCTTCCTGGGCCAAACGTCACTATAGGTCCTGACTTCCTGCTTCCTGGGCCAAACATCACTGTAGGTCCTGACTCCCTGGGCCAAATGTCACTATAGGTCCTGACTTCCTGCTTCCTGGGCCAAACATCACTATAGGTCCTGACTTCCTGCTTCCTGGGCCAAACATCACTGTAGGTCCTGACTCCCCTGGGCCAAACGTCACTATAGGTCCTGACTTCCTGCTTCCTGGGCCAAACTCACTATAGTGTCCTGACTTCCTTTCCTGGGCCAAATGTCACTATAGGTCCTGACTTCCTGCTTCCTGGGCCAAACATCACTGTAGGTCCTGACTCCCTGGGCCAAACGTCACTATAGGTCCTGACTTCCTGCTTCCTGGGCCAAACATCACTATAGGTCCTGATTCCCTGCTCCCTGGGCCAAACATCACTGTAGGTCCTGACTCCCTGGGCCAAACGTCACTATAGGTCCTGACTTCCTGCTTCCTGGGCCAAACATCACTATAGGTCCTGACTCCCTGCTCCCTGGGCCAAACGTCACGATAGGTCCTGACTCCTGCACTGGTCCCTCCCTGGGCCAAACTATAGTCCTGGTACTATCCTGCTTCCTGGGCCAAATTTCATTATAGGTCCTGACTCCCTGCTCCCTGGGCCAAACATCAAGATAGGTCCTGACTCCCTGGGCCAAACATCACTATAGGTCCTGACTCCCTGGGCCAAACATCACTATAGGCCCTGACTCCCTGGGCCAAAGATCACTATAGGCCCTGACTCCCTGGGCCAAACATCACTATAGGCCCTGACTCCCTGGGCCAAACATCACTATAGGCCCTGACTCCCTGGGCCAAACATCACTATAGGCCCTGACTCCCTGGGCCAAACATCACTATAGGTCCTGACTCCCTGGGCCAAATGTCACGATAGGTCCTGACTTCCTGGGCCAAATGTCACGATAGGTCCTGACTTCCTGCTTCCTGGGCCAAACATCACTGTAGGTCCTGACTCACTGGGCCAAATGTCACTATAGGTCCTGACTTCCTGCTTCCTGGGCCAAACATCACTATAGGTCCTGACTTTCTGCTTCCTGGGCCAAACATCACTATAGGTCCTGACTTCCTGCTTCCTGGGCCAAACATCACTATAGGTACTGACTCCCTGCTTCCTGGGCCAAATTTCATTATAGGTCCTGACTCCCTGCTCCCTGGGCCAAACGTCACGATAGGTCCTGACTCCCTGCTCCCTGGGCCAAACGTCTCTGTAGGTCCTGACTCCCTTGGCCAAACGTCACTGTGGGTACTGACTCCCTGCTTCCTGGGCCAAATTTCATTATAGGTCCTGACTCCCTGCTCCCTGGGCCAAACATCTCTGTAGGTCCTGACTCCCTGCTCCCTGGGCCAAACATCAAGATAGGTCCTGACTCCCTGGGCCAAACATCACAATAGGTTGTGACTCCCTGGGCCAAACATCACTATAGGCCCTGACTCCCTGGGCCAAACATCACTATAGGTCCTGACTCCCTGGGCCAAATGTCACGATAGGTCCTGACTTCCTGGGCCAAATGTCACGATAGGTCCTGACTTCCTGCTTCCTGGGCCAAACATCACTGTAGGTCCTGACTCCCTGGGCCAAAGGTCACTGTAGGTCCTGACTCCCTTGGCTAAAGGTCACTGTAGGTCCTGACTCCCTGGGCCAAAGGTCTCTGTAGGTCCTGACTCCCTTGGCCAAAGGTCTCTGTAGGTCCTGACTTCCTGCTTCCTGGGATCTGGTAGAAATCTCTCTCTCTTTCTGTATTTTCTCTCTCTTTCTCCTTCTGTCTCTCTCTCAAAATATCTCTCTATACTTTTTAAATTATAAATGGTTATTTTAAACTAAGGACGTGTTGTCTTTTTAACCCCAAGCACAACATGTTTTAAGAATAGTCTTAGAATAGATTCGATACGTAGGCTAAACAGTGGCATTTTATCCCTTCTAAGCTAAATCAAGCCGACAAACCTATTTATAGAAAGCTTTCTATGCCTAAACTGTTAGTTCTCCTGTATTTGGTACACACAGAGAGAGAGAGGCCTTTACATGCACATGGTGTGTCAGAGCCTCTGTACTCTGTCTTAGCAAGAAGTTGTCAAACCACACCCACCACATCCTTTAGCTGAATAAGCCTGTTTTTGTCGGTCAGTGTTAGGCCTACCTCTTGAGGTTTTGTCAGGGTTAACCACAAAACCAGCTCATGATATTTCATAAACCATATGGGACCCTTGGGCTGTGTTTTCTACTTTAAATTCAAAATCCTTTCCCCTGTTATTTAGATAAGATTTAGTGTCAAGGATTATACTTAAAATATACATTATTTTTGTTTGGACTTTTTGGTGTTTGAGATTATCTAGATCATTTCCATGTAAAAAGACCCATGAGCACCAACATGTGAAGTTCATAGGAACATATCAAATTGGGTGTCAAATGAAAGCTACGAGTGTATATTTTGGGGGAAATGAACGCATAGATACATTTTTCAACCATTTTCCATCTTAAAAATGAGGCATAGGTAAAGGCTTTGATTTCTGGATAAACAGATGAAAGAAAGAAAAACATCTAGGAGAAAGTCTTAAAAGGTTTCAGAAATACATCAAAACACAATCAAGTTGACGTTAAGACCCCTGCCAACTAAGAATATTTTTGGAGAAATTGTTTACCTTCTGTAAGTTTAAGAAATATTGCCTTGTGTCTTGTAACTCCGTTACCAAAAGCCCACGTATCTTTAAGATATTTTTAAGTTTCTCTCCCTCATGAGGAGGGAGGATAATGAAAGTTTACAAAAGTAACAAGTAATGGTAGACTATCATATTCTTCCGCAATTACAACTTTTTACGAGTTTTACCGTCGACCTATCAATTAGTTATAGTGATTTTACTGATATCATTTAAAAAATCAATTATTAAGTGATTAAAACTCGTAAACTCGTTAAAAATCATAATTCCTACCTGTCTTGTTCCATAGCCTACCTGTTCTACAGCCTACCCATTTTTATAGACTACCGGTCCTGTTCTACAGCCTACCTGTTCTACAGCCTACCTGTTCTACAGCCTACCTGTTCTACAGCCTACCTGTTCTACAGCCTACCTGTTGTATAGCCTACCTGTTGTATAGCCTACCTGTTCTACAGCCTACCTGTTCTACAGCCTACCTGTTGTATAGCCTACCTGTTGTATAGTCTACCTGTTCTACAGCCTACCTGTTCTACAGCCTACCTGTTGTATAGCCTACCTGTTGTATAGTCTACCTGTTCTACAGCCTACCTGTTCTACAGCCTACCTGTTGTATAGCCTACCTGTTCTACAGCCTACCTGTTCTACAGCCTACCTGTTCTACAGCCTACCTGTTGTATAGCCTACCTGTTCTACAGCCTACCTGTTCTACAGCCTACCTGTTGTATAGCCTACCTGTTCTATAGCCTACCTGTTCTACAGCCTATCTGTCCTATGGTTGACCATATGCGTGACTGTACATTATTGGCAATTGTTTGTAGCGTGTGTTGTACAGCTCAGAGCATACTGTCAGGCCTAGGCCAGTGGGCTAAATTATTGTCCTGTCCCATTACCCTCCTGGACCTATCAAACATAATCACTAACAAATCATGTCACGACCTGCCAGGGCCAGAGATTTTCTCACACAGCATTTGAAGACTGTGTCAGTCTCTAGAGGCACACACTCGTCACCGCTGGTTAATTACAGGGATGGGGTAAGGCTTCACACTGTGGGGGGAGATGGCTGTGTTATTGATCACTGCAGCACTGGAGTGCCCTTTAATGGCTCTGTCCTGTAGTGCTCCCGCACTGGGCAGAGAGGGACATCATCCATGCATTGCTTCATGAGAGCAATAGATTAGTAGTAGATTAAAAGCACAAAACAAATAGACTGGCCCAACAGTAGGCATCTTTTATGTGCTCCCTCGACCTTGTTTCTGTGTTTGAACTCCATTAAACCGATTCTTTAAAATGATTTATTACATCAACCCATTTACCGTAAAACAGGACTGCTGTTCAACATTCACCTAAAGAAATCAGGACAGTTTCTGATCTGGTGTCTCCATCTCTCTATTTCTCAGGGGCGATCCTGGGCCGGTCGGAGACACAGGAGTGTGTCCACTACAACTACAACCCTGCTGCCATCCAGGATAACCGAGGGGAACCGCAGTGGCATCGAGACGTGTGCCGGGGAGAAGGACAAGCGGAGACACTGTTTTGCCACCTGGAGGAACGTGTCGGGAATCGTAGAGATTGTAAAGCAGGGCTGTTGGCTGGATGATCACAACTGCTACGACAGGTAGGGCCTATTGCATCAGGGCTCTGTGGTGGTGGGTTGTATAACATTTGTGATCTGTTACAACACACCAATGACACGGTGGAATGATTAAGTGTGTCATTGGTGTGTTGCAATGGATCACAAATGTTATCAGTATATCAGTGAAACTATTCTTATAGGCCTATATAGGATCTCCATTCTGTGTGAGGACTTGGTCGTTCCATGAATATGATGTGAAAGATGTCCAATGGGGAGTAAGAAGAATCTTCATGAACCTGATTCCATGCCAACTGTTTTAAAATGGCAGCATCAGCCGTCTCAACTTGTTCTGACAGCTGCACTACTGCGATAAGCAATTGAGCTTCTTCTCAACTGATTTTAAGACCTGCAATGGTTTTTTAAAACAAGCTAGGCCTAGATGTTTGCATATTGCAAATATTGCCCTCTGATCCAGAACAAACCGAGATAGAGATGAATTGTATTTAAGTGTAGCACTTTAGCCTCTCTTCAGTGGTGTAAACATGCTGTGATGTTATCGGCTCAGCTATCCATCCTACATGTCAGCTAGCCTAGCTTTACCAGAAGCATTTTATTTTATAGCATGAGAGAGCCCAGTCCCAGAAAGGCTGAGTTACCTGGCGGCTCTTTCCTTACATTGCCGTTGAACCAGAGCCCCAGAAAGGCTGAGTTACCTGGTCCTCTTGTCTTAACATGCCATTGAACCCCTTTACCTCCCACCTGCAGCAACCGGATTCTTGTGTTTTTGAAGTGTGGCGTGCTTCCATGTTATTACTAAATGTAGAGCAACAGGTATCTCTGACCGCGCCGTGCGGCAGCTGACCGACAGGTGCTTGCTCTCTGACCGCGCCGTGCGGCAGCTGACCGACAGGTGCTTGCTCTCTGACCGCGCCGTGCGGCAGCTGACCGACAGGTGCTTGCTCTCTGACCGCGCCGTGCGGCAGCTGACCGACAGGTGCTTGCTCTCTGACCGCGCCGTGCGGCAGCTGACCGACAGGTGCTTGCTCTCTGACCGCGCCGTGCGGCAGCTGACCGACAGGTGCTTGCTCTCTGACCGCGCCGTGCGGCAGCTGACCGACAGGTGCTTGCTCTCTGACCGTGCCGTGCGGCAGCTGACCGACAGGTGCTTGCTCTCTGACCGCGCCGTGCGGCAGCTGACCGACAGGTGCTTGCTCTCTGACCGCGCCGTGCGGCAGCTGACCGACAGGTGCTTGCTCTCTGACCGCGCCGTGCGGCAGCTGACCGACAGGTGCTTGCTCTCTGACCGCGCCGTGCGGCAGCTGACCGACAGGTGCTTGCTCTCTGACCGCGCCGTGCGGCAGCTGACCGACAGGTGCTTGCTCTCTGACCGCGCCGTGCGGCAGCTGACCGACAGGTGCTTGCTCTCTGACCGCGCCGTGCGGCAGCTGACCGACAGGTGCTTGCTCTCTGACCGCGCCGTGCGGCAGCTGACCGACAGGTGCTTGCTCTACATGTAAACAACGGCCAAACATAAACAACGGTCTGGCTGCTTTTCTTCTCCTTGTCCAAACAAACAGTTTGGAGTGAACACTGCTCCTTTTGGTTTCTGCTTGGGCTAATAAGCTTGTTTATCTATTCGGGTGTTGCTTCGATGTGGTTTAACTGTCATGGAATGTAAGTTTGTCAGTTAATATAGAATTCTAACTTTTTTGTTGATTTGAATGAGTTCCAAACTTGGTGAAACACAAAAGAATAGACTTGTTTACAGGAAATAACATACTGTACCTACAACAACATGAACTACAGTATCATAAGGGTAAAGCACTTGAACTTCATTTTTCTTTTTACATCCATTATATTACTATGCCTGTATCGCTCAGGTCTGAAACTCAAGGATAGTTCCCAAATTCTGAAAGAAAGAAAAAACTATAACACAAAGAAACCAAATAAATTAGTAAAGTTTAGAAAGGGCATGTTTGGGGGCCGGAGGGGACCATGGTCTTTCCAACATTATTGTGACCCTGATAGCATGGTCTCTGCTCTTGTTTTTCAGTACTGAATGTGTGGAAAAGAAAGAAAGCCCCGACGTGTTCTTCTGCTGCTGTGAAGGAAACATGTGTAATGAGAAGTTTGTCTACGCTCCCGACAACACACAAGCTGTTCAGAGTAAGTTCTGTGTTTGTCTGTGTGCGTACACATGTGCATGTGTCTGCGCGTGTGCATATTTTTTCTTAGTGCTGGTTACATTCTTCTCGTAATTGTTGTAAAAAATTAATAAAAAACTAAACTGTTGTTTTTTTATTACCTCTTCATTAAAATATGATGAAAAGAAAGAACTAATCAGTGTTCAGAAATGCCTTAATGTTGTGGTTGGGAAACTTCTTTTCCAGTTGCCCAATTGTTGCTCAACAATGAACAGAAATGCCCTTTTCAGAATAGTCCTGTTAATTCATGGGGAAAATCAGTTGGAGTCAGATAAAGGTTATACAATAGGATGTATTGAAGCGTTGGGTTGGTGTGGGGGAAGGGCGTTTCTCCCTCCGCTTGTGCAACCGAACGTGTACATGTATTTGCAGCAGTGACTCACTAGATGTGGAATGCCCTGGATATTTGGAACAAAAAGCTAGGTCGGAGCCTGACTATCGTATCGAGCGACAGGGGCAGCACACACACACACACACACACACACACACACACACACACACACAGTCACACACACACACACACACAGTCACAGCTAAACACAGAGTTTGTTAAACAAATAGCCACTGGATTGATGAAAATACACATGATATCATTCTGCCAGGTAGACATAGGCTACTTTGTAGTTAACATTTAATTGAGAAGGTTTTTGGGAAAGCCTTTCCATCTCTACCAGAAGAAGGTTATCATTAGCATCATCGCTAACGGCTACACAGTGTAGATATACGCGTGCACCGCAGACATACACACAGACCTGTGTCGCTTCAGAAAGTTGCAGGAAAATACAAATCACTGATGCATTTTGTTCAGGTCTTCAATACATTTAGTTCAAGAAAAAAAAATTGTATTGTTGATTTCTGTGATTCCGGCCGTGTTCTCCGCAACGTAGATTTGATAGGGCCCTAGGCTGGATAAAGAGCGGGAGAGAGCGTAACCTGCTGACCGGAGCGGTTCCATGCCTGAGTGGCATGTGCCGTGTGGTGATCCTAATGCCAGTGGGGAGGTGGGGAGGAGGGGAGGATGCATGCAGCAGGCAAAGGGAGCAGGGGGGAGAGGATGGGGGTTTGGGACTGCTGTGTTTTACATTTCAAATCTAATCCGGGTTCTTGTCCCGCTTGCAGCTAAAATGGAGCACTGGGCAGGGAGCTGGGAGAGGGGGAGGGGAGCGATGGGGAGAGGGTAGGAGGAGGGGCACAGCATGGGGGATTGTGGCAGGCAGGCAGCATCACGAACAGTGTCCCACTTTTGCTATCTAATGCCAGTTCAGCTGAGGTCACCGACATAGAGAAGCAATGGCACTCTCTCTCACACACACACACACACACATACACATACACACACACACACACACACACACAAACACACACACACACACACACACACACTGGATGTCATGCTGGCAGGCAAGGGAAGGGAAATCCACCGCAGCGGTGACACGAGTGCGTGTTGCGATTATGCGCCGGGGCTGCTGCTTTGGCGACGAGGCACGATCAAGTCTTATCTCTCTCTCATGAAGCCCTGTACAGGGACTGTGCCAGGATGGGAGCCTGCAAACCAAACATGCTTTAGATAGATAGCTAGAAATGCATTTGATAAAAATGTCAGCCAGCTAGAGTTGAGCCCATATCAGCTCTATATTATGAACACAGAGACTGCAACACGTAACTCATTATTTTTCACATTCTTGGCAAAGTTATTGTGGTGTCATTCTTACAAAACCCTCTTTCAGCACTCCTTTATTTTGAGTACATCCTATAATAGACCTTTTGTCCAGGCATAATCTAGATTGATCTAATTTTCTCTCTATCTTTCCCTCTCTTCTCTCTCTCCCCTTCTCTCCATAGCACCGTCGAACCCGGTTACCCAGAAGCCTCCTGTCTTCACCACCCTGATGTACTCGCTGGTGCCCATCATAGGCATCACTGCCATCATCCTCTTCTCGTTCTGGATGTACCGCCATCACAAGCTGGCATACCCGCCAGTCCTGGTGCCCACACAGGTATGACAACACACAAAACCCTCTTTAGTTACAATAACAGTTGTAGCTATCTACGCACTGACTGTAATAGGCTAGCTGCTGTATATGAATGAGTGTTGTTCTCATTTTAATTTAACTTGTAGCTAGCATTTGATCTGTGTTGGTTGGATGGTGCAAGCAAGGTATTCACATTGTCCACAGATATGCTAGTCTGAGTAGCAGTCTCTTTAGCTAACATGCCACTCCTTGTCATTGCCAAAGAGACTAGCCTTTTGGCAATCTCAAAGTTCAACAAGTCGTTATCAATAAAACGTCACAATACGGTGCAAAGTGTTGGATTTGCCTGCTGTGGAGCAAGGAGACTCGTAGCTCCGCTGAAACCATTGACAACTGCGTGTCGTTTTCAAGGATTCAAGGATTGTTAAATATATTTTATCTATTTGGTTGTAATATCATCACCTCTTGAAGAGCATAGACAGAACTACACATTTTCGATTATTCCATGCAAAGCAATTGCGCACATTTATCTCTTATCAGAGTTATACAGCAAGTGACTGCATGCTTTTCATGATCAGATAACATCAATTGATCATGTCATTTCAGTTACGTGACGGTAGCCTTTCCATTAGGCAAAACAAGTGTCATTTAGCTTGCTTCATCAGAGATTAGGCTTTTGGAAAAAGTTGGAGTCCGTCATCACCACCATAGATGACAAGCAAATATAGCCATCTACTTTATCCCCTGAAAGTTAGCTTGTTAACCAGCCATATTGACATGATCTGTTATTAGCTAGCTAGCCAATTTGAGGTGGTCCATCAATCAATGTAGGCTGTCATGTCTGTCAGCAGCAATCACGATTAAACTCATAAAACAAATTTGAAAAGGGGATAATGTTAGCTAACTTCGCTAGGTAGGCTCCATGATTCCATATGTGTTATTTTATAGTTTTGATGTCTTCACTATTATCCTACAATGTAGAAAATAGTAAGAATAAAGAAAAACCCTTGAATGAGTAGGTGTGTCCAAACTTTTGACCGGTAGTGTAACATTTAACAATCACTTAAAAACAGCACATAGTTGTCAATGTTTTTAGCGGAGCTGGGGGTCTCCTTGCCCCCAAGCAGCCAAATTGAACGTATTGTGACGTTTTATAGGTCGTTGTGAATAAAATGTCACAATAAGGTGCAGAGCGATCGATTTGCCTGCTGGGGGGGCAAGGACATTTTTGAATTAGCTAGGCAAGTTGTTGTATTTTGACGCATAAAAACTGAGAGGTTTTGTGGTTGGAATTGCAGTATGTATTTCGTTAGAGAATTTAGATGTGAGCTAGCAACTTTTGACAGACTGGTTTCTTCTGGACAAACAAAACATTGTTGCTTAGCAACCGGATACCAACATGTTCTCTGGAGAGAAAAAAAACTGATGGAGTTCCAATATTTGCATAATCGTTGTGATTGGAGGATAGCTGTGAGGGTGATCGAATCAGGATCAAACCCTCTTTTCTCCTCGAGCTCATTAATGATAGAATGTTCATATTTGACTGGCAGAAAGTCCAGTCTCTTTGGCACATGACATGGAGTCACCTCAGTGCATGCAGTACAGGGAGTGGATTATGTAAAGAGACTAGTACCGAGGCTACAGATATGCCACTGTAGACGCAACACCTCTTTGTTTTTACTGCGGCCCGCTTTGTTGATAAACCTTTCCTCCATCAAGGCATACTGTGAGAGAAGTACTATGACTTTGAATCAGCTGTATGAAACCGATCAGTTGCTATGGGTTGTATATGCTTACTGTATTTGAGCTTATGCTGTTGGTAGGCTGAGAGTTTGGAGTCAGCTTTTCTTTCCTCCGTCCCTGTTCAGGAAACGCAACTCGTTCTGATGGGATGAGACAGAGCTTTTACTGTGCCTTTCTGCCAGTGACACACACACACACGCACTGTCAGATGAATGCTTGCAAAGTACACTATATATACAAAGGTATGTGGACACCCCTTCTTCAAATGAATGGATTCGGCTATTTCAGCCACACCCGTTGCTGACAGGTGTATAAAATCGAGCACACAGCCATGCAATCTCCATAGTCTAACATTGGCAGTAGAATGGCCTTACTGAAGAGCTCAGTGACTTTCAATGTGGCATCGTCATAGGATGCCAGCTTTTCAACAAGTCAGTTCGTCAACTTTCTGCCCTGCTAGAGCTGCCCCGGTCAACTGTAAGTGCTGTTATTGTGAAGTGGAAACGTCTAGGAGCAACAACAGATCAGGTAGGCCACACAAGCTCACAGATATGCTGAGTGCTGAAGCGCGTAGCGCTTAAAAATTATCTGTCCTTGGTTGCAACACTCACTACCCATGAAATGGGTTTCCATGGCCCGAGCAGCCACACACAAGCCTAAGATCACCATGCGCAATGCGTCGGCTGGAGTGGTGTAAAGCTCGCCGCCATTAGACTCTGGAGCAGTGGAAACGCGTTCTCTGGAGCGATGAATCACGCTTCACCATCTGGCAGTGCGACGGACAAATCTGGATTTGGCGGATGCCAGGAGAACGCTACCTGCCCGAATGCATAGTGCCAACTGTAAAGTTTGGTGGAGGAGGAATAATGGTCTGGGGCTGTTTTTCATGGTTCAGGCTAGGCCCCTTAGTTCCAGTGAAGCAAAATCTTAACGCTACAGCATAGAATTACATTCTAGACGATTATGTGCTTCCAACTTTGTGGCAACAGTTTGGGGAAGGCCCTTTCCTGTTTCAGCATAAGAATGCCCCCGTGCACAAAGCGAGGTCCATACAGAAACGGTTTGTCGAGATCGGTGTGGAAGAACTTGACTGGCCTGCACAGAGCCCTGACCTCAACCCCATCGAACACCTTAGGATGAATTGAAACGCTGACTACGAGCCAGGCCTAATCGCCCAACATCAGTGCCCAACCTCACTAATGCTCTTGTGGCTGAATGGAAGCAAATCCCTGCAGCAATGTTCCAACATCTAGTGGAAAGCCTTCCCAGAAGAGTGGTGGCTGTTATAGCAGCAAAGGGGGGACCAACTCCATATTAATGCCCATGATTTTGGAATGAGATGTTCGACGAGCAGGTGTCCACATACTTTTGAAAGCCTGGCTGTGCCAAAGCTAAGTTAGGCCCCAAATACTTGGCAGTTTGGCAGCAGTTGTAGTAAATGGCTCAAAGTGAATTCTAAGAACATTTTCCTATTAGAACGTCTTCCCTTTCATTAACTAACAAGTATGACTGGATATATTGGTCTGAAAATAAATGGAAGACATTGCTGAAAGTAAGGAATCATATTTTGTTTCACAACAACATAACATTATCATCCCTCTTTACGGCCTTTAGTTTCGATCGGTAGGCATGAATGTACGGACACCTTTGGCACATGGTCAGTTAAGTGATAATGCCAGAGAAGCCGGTGTTTGGAGGATAAATTGCGGCAAACCGTGCCAATATATCCTCGAAACACAGGCTTCAAGGGCATAATCACTTTTATACAATGGTTTACCAACATATTCACATAATGATTGACATATTTTAATTAAAAACATTATTTTAATGAATTTATTCATACTATTTCATCCTTCCACAAGATATAGTCCCGACACAAATCTAGGGTTGCTACCCAAGCCGGCTGGTCGTTCGTTCTGTCGGTTCGGTTCCCAGAGACGCGACCCAGTCAATCTTTTTGTTCTGTATTTATGGACAAGACCCAGTCATTCGTTCTAAATGTTCCATTGCCATGCTGGCTGGCAACGTTCTTATCCCTTGCTTGCTAGCTAGCAAACTACAGCTAACTTAAGGTCACGTCAAAAAGTGCAGCCAGAATAACAGCAAAGTAGCTGCATTTGCATTTGTTTAAGCTGTTTTCTAATTACATTTATTTGGATACATCCATAACAATGAGCTAATTGTTCAGAGGAGCTAGCCGACAACACAGCTAACACAATTACTTCAAACTGAAGCTGTAAACACTGCAAACTGGCTGCACTTTGTTTCATTTTACCTTTTTTCAATTGACATTTCTTTGTATATATCTATAAAAATGATGCCAGCTGATTCATGATTTCGACTGGCTGAGAAACGCTGCCTGTCTGTCTGTCTCGTCCCAACACGTTCATTACCATGGAACAGCTGGAGATCGAATTTGAATATTGAAACAATGTTGCAAATGTCGGAGAGACAGACAGCAAGGTTTATACAAATCTCCGCTGTTGAAAACAAACTAAATGTTAGTCTAAAAGTTTATGTGAGATCATGTCTAGATGCTTTTTATAGTGGAGATCAAGTTTATAACTTGCCTAGCTGGGCTGATGAAACAGTGGATTGCGCTGTCAGGTGGAAAAGAGTAAATCGGCATTTTAACGTCATAGATTTAGCTGGTGGTAACTTGTGGAATAGACACCGGCTGGAATGCGCTTTTAACCAATCAGCACTCAGGATTAGATCCACCCGTTGTATAAGTTGGCATCAAGCCAGTGTATTGTGCTCATGTCGGACATAGTCTGAGCTGGGAAGTAGATGTGAGGAGCCATGCTGTTATTTAATGTTATTTTCTCATCTTTATTGACTATTTCTACGTAGGCAGGCATCCCTTCTGATGTTCCTGAGGATGTGCCACAGCTGAAACAGCAACAGTCTCAAGTTAAAGTGATGCCTTTTTCCTTAAAGGGATAATCCACCCCCAGAAATAAAAGTCATGAAACTTCTGTCAATTTGGTGAAAGCCTATGTTCTAACAGTGGGTAAAATATACATTTTTCCCATGATTTATCTTCTAAGTCGTCCGTCTGTAGGAACGCGTAATAGCTACAGTGGGGAGAACAAGTATTTGATACACTGCCGATTTTGCAGTTTTTCCTACTTACAAAGCATGTAGAGGTCTGTAATTTTTATCATAGGTACACTTCAACTGTGAAAGATGGAATCTAAAACAAAAATCCAGAAAATCACATTGTATGATTTTTAAGTAATTAATTTGCATTTTATTGCATGACATAAGTATTTGATACA